CTATTATTGACGTTTGCATCTGACGTCACTAGGACAATGTAAATCTTAAAGAAATAAACAGAGATGGAAATGACGCCAGCGAGTGTTTCGCTCAGTCCTCCTGCGCGAGGAATGGCCCGCAGCGTCGGCGCAATTCGGCGACGGACGAAGGGAGCAGCGAGACCCGACCGCGAAGGAGAAGCTAAGTGCTCAAGTGCCTGACATGCTCTGCTTCAGGTGTGGATATGATTTTTTAAAATTATCTGATTATCGTTTGATGATGAACTTAGCTGGTGTTCTTCCTCTTTGTCTTTTTTTATTTGTAGTAGGAATCCTGAGTGATCTTTTAGTTTTGTTTTTCTCATTTGAGTTTCACCAGACCGTTTCATGCATGGAACTTTTAGGTTTCCGAATTTTTAAAGGCAACTGTGATGGTGTGGTGAGGCCTCCAGCCGCTTTGGATCCTGCATGCGGGAATTATGGCTATGTTGTGGGCATTCAGCACATTTTCTTTTACATCTTGTACTTTTAGGATATTTAATGTAATAGTATTTTACGCAATGGTCAGGCTGAACATTGGAAAGAGAATAGCACGCTGGAACACCCATGTAAATGATTCAGTGTCCCCCACGCTGCCACTTGAGGGAATCTGAATCGGCAGAGGCTAACCAGGCCTTCTGCGCCTACGTCCCTCGCCAGCATCACGAGAGGGCGACTTCATGTACATCGACTTGAGGACCTGGGGCGGGACCCCTGGGTTGACGGAGATCACAGCACACAGGCATGGTGGCCCAGCCCAACCAGGTGGCCCAGCACAGTGGAGCCCCTGGCCCACCTCCTGTCATGGGTCCTCCTGGGCAACCAGGTCAGCCTGGACAGCCTGGGCAGCCTGGCACGCAGCCACAGAGGAATGCCACCCAGGCTCTGCAGCAGCTCCTACAAACCTTGAAGAACCCATCAAGCCAGCACCAGCAGTCAGAGGTCCTACATATACTCAAAACGCACCCTCAGCTGATGGCAGCTTTCATCAGACATCGTCAGATTCAGCAGCAGAGTCAGCAGCCCCCACAACCAAATCCTCAGCAACCCCCTCAGCAACCCCCACAGGGACCAGGTGGCCAGCCAGGCATGATCGCTCCATGTGGGAGCATGCCTGGGACTGTGCAAGGCTCCATGCAGCTCACAGGCATAGTAATCAGTAATGATAATGTTAATGATGATGATTATGATAGCAGAAATGATGACAACAATGATAATGGTAATCATATTGTTAATAATGACAGTTTATTAGTATGATCATGTTTATTATTGTTATCATTAGTATCATTGTTATGATAATTATTACTATTCATATCAGCTACCAATATTGTCATTATTATTAGCAGTATTATAATGACTACTATTATTAGAAATGATAATAGTTATTATTATCATTATTATTACTATATTTATTATCCTTACCATCATCATTATTATTATTACAATAATGATTATCATTATTATTATAAATGGTATTATCACTTTTATCCTTATTATTACTATTCTCATCATTATTATTACTATCATTATCATCATCAACATGATTGCCATTAATATTGTTATTGTTACTATTATTATTGTTATTTATTATTATCATTTATTATTATTATTACTGTTATTATCATCATTATTATTATTACTATTATTATCTTTATTATTATTATTGTTATCATGATTATTATTATTATTATTATTACTACTACTAATACTACTGCTATCCTTAATATTGTTATTATCATTTTTATTGTTATTATTATTAACATCATTATTACTATTATTATCATGAACATTATTATTATTATCATTATCCTTGTGAAAGGCTTGGTCAAGATAAAATAACTTGACACCAGTAATCGTATCCTTCTGACCTCTTTCGCACAGAGACAAGAATCCACAGGTCAGAAGGGAGGTCAAGACTGGGAAACTGACCATCTTCCTTGCGGCAACCGTTGACCCTCGACCCTCGCCTGCTCCTAGCCTAGGGAAGCAGCCTTCGCCCGCCCCTGCCTGGCCGAGGGAAGCACTCCTTCGGGCCGCCCCTGCCTGGCCGAGGGAAGCACTCCTTCGGGCCGCCCCCCCCTCCCCCCGCCGGCGAACCCGGGGCGGGCCAGGCTGATCACCAGCTGACCCGGAGGAGGAGCTTGCCTGGCCTGCACTTGCCCCAATCCAGGGCAGGGTGGATCTGGACCTCCCCCTCCCCCTCCCGGACGGGCGTTGCCTGAGACAGGTCAGGGCAGTTCTGGACATACTTCTCATCACTCGAGTTCTGGGCTCAGCCGGAACAACACTCCTCGCTCCAAGCTCTTTGATATGTGTCATACTCGGCGTACTGGCGTGATAGTATTACCTTAGTTCATGACATATATACTTGTTGTAGGACTTGTACTTTGTGCGTTAGTTCATGACGTATTTATATATTTGCTGTAGGACTTACAATTGTGCATTGTAGTTGTTGACGTTATAATATATTATATTAATTGTTGATACTGTGTTTCAACACCCCATTAGTTTCTGTGTGAAGGTTTAGGTTCAATTCACACCACAATTATTATTATCATAATAATGATAATAATAATAATAATAATAATAATAATATAATAATAATAACAATGAATATTGCTGGAACCATTCTCTGGTATGAACTGATATGATGTGGAAGACCGAACGTCATCGCGGCGGAAATTTCATCGAATGTCACTTCAGCTGGGTCTTCCAGCTGGGCATCGCCAGAACTACAGTCTCATGGAGTGACTTATCACACTCACTATGAATAGTCGTATACTTTTTAGATAAATAAAGTTTCGAAGGTCAATATCGCATTTTCTTGTTATACATCTAATACATTTTCTATCTATTCTATGTTGTTGAATGTTGTTACATTATTGGCTTAGTAATGTATTTTTTGTATATTGTTTTAAGCAGTGCAATAAGCAAGAAAAGTAAACTCCTATAATTACCAAACTCGACCCTACGCACTGTAACTATAATATATTCATCAATTTATGATAGTATACAAAATATGTATATTTTTCCCCTTGAATACATCTCATATGATAAACTTTGACAAAGTTGCTTTGGACTTCGACCCACTCAATAATGACAAAAATATAAAATAGAAGGCGAAACTTCCATTAGTTTCTGTAATGATAAGTATTTTTTAAAGGTTGCCAATGGCATGGGACGCTTGATGTGAGGAAGTGACAGCGAAGATTATGGGTTTTATAACCGGAAGAACAAATGAAAACAAATATCTTTAAAGCACATCTTGACATTAAGATTGATGACGTCACAGTCCCACACACAAATCCTCACGTGCAGCAATGCAAATGTATATCAACAAATCTGTGGACAATAGCCACCCCCCCAAAAAAAAAAAAAAAAAAAAATGAATAGGATTACTACATACTCTCAAAAACAAGCTTTAAAGACAAGTTATGACATCACAGTTTCTGCGCCAATCACGACTCGAGCAATCTCAGCGGCTCAGCCAATCACGACTCGAGAAATCTCAGCGGCTCAGCCAATCACGGCGCGTCCAGAACAGCTGTGAGTGACAGCCTGGAGCACCCACTGGAACCCAAGTCACCAAAAGGAAAAGAGAAGCCAATAAGACCTGTACGGAAAAGGGAACGTAGTTGGAACTTCTCGGATCATAACCCGACCATAACTGAGGACCTACGAATATACAGGCAAGCAAATCGTAATGTATATCATGTAATACTGGTCAGTTTAACAGGTGAATCTGAAACCTCAAATTTTATGAACTTTATATGACTATCAGGGCCGTGTCTTGGATATTGGATATTTTTGCAGGAAATCCATTGCTTTCAATGATTCTGGGTTATGTTTCTTGTGCAAATGGGTCGTTGAGGAGATCTGAACACCATTTCCATCGACAATCTTGCTTTAATAGTCCCGATAGCAGGGAAGAGCTTGAAGTATATTATAAAAATTATAGAGTAAAACAGTCGGAGATAGAATGACAAACGAACAGAAAATTGTAAAAAAAAAACACATGAAAAACTGAAACATGGTTTGTGAAACGCCCGTCATCTGCGAAAGCCTACGGGCCGACGCGCCAGCTTTCGAAAACCACTTCACGGGCGTCCATCCAACATTTCGGTAAAACCTAAGGTCTTAACGCCTTCAGAGCCCCAGGCGTGACCCTAGTCCTACCCCTGTGCTCCTGGACCCCCATGGTTGTTGGACAAAATGTCCCACCACAACATCCAACCCAACCACACTGGTAAACTGAATATTGCTTATCCAGGGGACTTTACCTCTTGATAAGGAATATATACCACAGTGTGCCATGGTATACCACGGCTACGCCCCCTGGACCCCTGTGTTATTTACACAATATGCTCAACTGATATGATAACTGAACCTAATAATTTGCTCCCTTAAAACCACATACCTTCTTACAGCAAGAACACCGATCTTTACTCTGTTGATGGTCTGAATAGTTGTTGGTAATCCCTTTTTTTGAAATTTGGGACATTTAATGAACTCACATATCTAACTAGGATACTGATGTCTAATTCTTTGTTGCCACTGTATAGTCTTCAGAATAATCCAGAATCAACACAACACTAGAATGTGGAAACGTATGAATGAGAATGAATGTATTCACAATACATGACATGTTTTTGACCAGTTTTCGAATACGTATATATTCAAAACCGGTCAAATACATCTCTTGTATTGTGGAGATATTCATTCTCATTCATACGTTTCCACATTTGTCAACATGAATACTGTGCACAGCACTAGAAACAAAACATTTCTTGTCGGAGTTTGTCAAAGAATGGAATCTCCTGGTACTGACAAAAAGAGTTGGTTATGAAGAATGCATGGGCAGAAGATTATTGTAAAGAACTTTATTGATGAATCTTAAAACACATAAAGGAAGTATAATGACATTAAAAGAACATGTTTAAAGCATGGTTAATCTTTATGGTATGGACACATTAAATTAGGGCAAATTGAAGATGATATTAATGTAGAGGAGTAAAAGCTGTAATCATTAGTATAGGAAACAATCTGGAGACATGAATGGTAACCCCACAAATTAAGGGAAAGTTCACTGAAAGTGCCACACACAACTGAAATCCACATGGTGCTCCAAATCTCAGCTCTATCCTGCTAAGCATACAAGATGAAGACTGTGTTTCCTAGGGGGTGTATTATCAAAATATCCTTCCCAATCCCATAACTGTTTTCATGGGGATGGCTTACCTTGGACCTCAGCCTTCACCACAACTAATCTTGTATGGTCTTCTCCATCTTTTTTCCCCTCTTCTTCACCCTCTTCTTCTGTCCACGTCCTTAAAGTGTGAGCCATGCTGAAAGGATGAAAGGCTGGCTTTGTGTCAGTCCTGAAAATCCCTCTTTACCATTTTCAATACCATACTAACCTACAGCATTCTCTACAGCCTTTATCTAATATATTTTATCCTTGTTATTTTTTTTTTTACCTTTTTGTCATCATGCTCTATGACCTTTCCTTACCTGGGGCTTCGCCACCAAGCCTTGCCATATTGTTATATTTTGTATATGCCGCTAATGACCTTAGATGTTGACGCGGCAGAATATTTTCAATAAATTAATAAGTTATCAAAATACTATATTGATATTTGTGTAGCAATACATGAACTATTTGGCATATCTAAGTAATGTGTTATGCAGTCAGTGTAGTTTTTATCTTCGCATTCCTAAGAATGGGTGATCTGTTCTTTTACATATAGCACCTTTTGAAAGCATTTGCACATATATTGCTGGAGAAGAACTTTGTCTTGGGTTGAACTGTTCTGTCATTTCATGTAGGTGTTATAACACATCTCTGCCACTACCTTGAACTACACAGTGTCCCCTTAGGGCATTAGGGACAGGGTAAGCCATAAGGTTGAAGTAAATGATGTTTCAAAATCAAAACCCTTAAATCCAATTTATTAGAATGAGAAACTAAAAAACAAATTGCAAACAACTGGCCTCGAGCAAAAACATGGGCTGTTCATATAATGCTATATATCCCCAGTGGAGATAGATTTAGCCCCAGAGGAGATAAAAGAAAAAGTAAGAATGATAAATGGAAACACAGAAATACTAGAAATGATAATAACTAAAAAGAGCAATGGAGAAAAAGACAATGAAACCAGATATGTTCCAACAAAGTCCCTAAGGATAACATTTACTTGGAAAAATAATAATAGAACAACATCTTACCAAGTTCACTAATATACTTTCCCTATTCCCAAATGTTCAGGTGTCAGAGGTATGGCCATGGGATCACAGCTTTCTGAAAAAAGAAAGATGTAGTAAAATGCTGATCATAATTACAAAGATTGCCCAAGTAAAGAAAACTGCTTTTACTATCATTGTGATCTCGCACCCAACACACATTCATGCAAAAAGTAAAGATGCCCAAAATTCGAATTAAAAAAACATATATATAACACCCAATGATCTAGAAATCAATAAACAATTTCAAGAGTTAATGCCTCTCCAGAAAGAACACTTAGCTCTTGAAGCCTGTATTCCAGACCCAATAACCAGTAAAAACACATCACAAACACCCAACAAACAAAGAAAAACACATACAAACAGCAGAACACACCACAGCACAATAATGTGCACAGACATTGAGCCAGCCTCAAACTTTAATATCAGGACAAAGAGCCCAACAAAATTTAAAAAACTAAAAGATATAGGTAACACACTAGAAAGAAATCACAGGTAAAGAGTGATGATGTAAACATAAAAAAGCGACAGAAAAAACTGGAATCACCAAAAACAAATCCAGGTTCTCCATTAAGATGGCCCCATTCCAACCAACAGCAGTGAAGGTCGAACTCCAAGAAGTAGCCTGAAAACACTTAAAGATACTAGGATGGGTAAAGAAGAAGATATCTCATGGGTGACTACAATGAAGTATATAGTCAGTGTGATATCAAATGTAATAAACAAAATAAAATTTGGAAAAGAAAACAATGATTGAAATTATTGCTGAAACTGTAAAAGGTGTAACTCCAATCATAAAAAAAATAATTAATTACTTGCATGAATCCCCCTCAACTCCAACTACACGTACATTCTCCCTCCCTCCATCTCCTCGATCATTTTCACTCCCTCCTGGATACAGACGTGAAACACTTATGTAATTCCCTTACCTTGACCCACCATAGCCCATTCACACATCAACTCCTTTACCCATCTTTAACCTTTCAAGATTACTCTAGATAGTTGATGCATAGCAACTATCACCCTTCACCCCTGCTTTAACATAAATTCCTATAGTGCTATATAACCTTAGATGTCTAGCACATTTATTTTGCTTTTAACCATTAACAATTAACCATTACTTAAATGTATAAATTCTCTGGAATATTAAGTCAATTTCGAATAGGAATACTGATTTAAAATATTTGGTACATAAGAACAACTAGAATTAATAGGACCATGTGAGACCTGGCACTATACAAA